ACATCGTCAGATTTTGATGATACAAATTTTTTATCAAATTATTCATCTGTATTAAAAATTATTCTATTTGCATTAATTGCAATTGAAAAATTTTCTCATTCATTAGAATCTAAACATATTTTATTACAATCCTTAACAATTAATAATGAACAATCAAAAATGAATGTGTTAGAATATTATGAACCATGGGCTCTATCAAGTAATTGTCTTAAACGACAAATCGGTAAGTCATATTATACCTTTTCTTTTTATAAAAGATCGTTGATTTTCGTTTGTAGGTTTTTATGCTCAATGGTTACTTGATAATGTATTTATACTTGATTATCGTCGACCATCTTATGAAATAATTGATCATCGTTATATAAATGTTATGCTTAATGATAAAGATGTTAGTGAATATTTAAAAATTGGTCCTGATGGACTTGAAGCACGTAGTGATACAGTTTCATTTGAAAGTGTTCGATGTACATTTAATGTTAATTCAGATGTTTGGTATTATGAAGTACTTATTGTTACTGATGGTGTTATGCAAATAGGATGGGCTACAAAACAATCAAAATTTATGAATCATGAAGGTTATGGTATTGGAGATGATCAATATTCTATAGCATATGATGGATGTAGAAATTTAGTTTGGTTTGGAGCAAAATCTATACCTCATAATAATCCAACATGGAAACCTGGTGATATTGTTGGTAAGATTTTAGTTTTAGAAATAGAATCATACTGAACTCTTCTCTACGAGAAAGAGAATATCTTTATTTGAACCTTTAACTTTAATCTTTTTTTTATATAGGTTGTTTAATTGATTTCGATCGACGTGAAGTTATATTTTCATTAAATGGTCGTTCACTTGATCCATTTCGTAAATTATTTTCATCAACATCAGATCCTATTACTGATGGATATTTTGCTGCAGCAAGTTTTATGTCTTATCAACATTGTCGTTTTAATTTTGGTTCAGCTCCATTTCGTTATCCACCAACAAATGTATCTTCGTTTAAAACATTCAATGAATATGGTCATTTATCAGATGATGAAAAACTTATTTTACCAAAATATAAAAAACTTGAATTATTACGTGCAATTAAAATAAGTGACCAAGATTGTATATTATGTGTTGATGATCTAGCTAATATATTACTTAAACCTTGTCAACATACTGGTTTTTGTGAAGAATGTGCTTCGAAATTAGATATTTGTCCTATATGTCGTTCGGATATTCAAGAACGATCGATAATAACTGACTGATTGATTTATTTTTCGTCTTTTCTGCTGCTTTAACATTTCTCACGAACAGTTTAATGCATTCCAAAACAACAATTAGCATTATTCTCCTTTTCTTTTTTCATTTTATCTAGTCGTTTGTATTTAAGTATTGAACACCATTTAGTATGTTTATATATATATAAATTATTCCTTTTCTCTTCTTTTCTTTTTTTTTTATAAATGTAGACAATATAATATAATTCAATGATACCAATATGGTCTCATTATTTGTGAATATTGTCTGTCGAAATTTAGAAAAATATTTTTTTTTCATGAATGATACTATTTTTCTTGCTTTTTTTGAAATAAAACTAACTTTTCAATTCTTCATTTTCGTATATACTTGTTATTCATTGGAAGAAATTAATCTTATATCATTATAATATACAGTTTGTATGGGTGTTTGTGCCATCTTGAGGGTGTGGGTGATAAACATTACTTGATTCCACTCACCCACATCCACACCCTCTCTCATATATATATATAAAGATGAGATAGATACTGAAACATCTCCTTGTTTTTTTCTATGAAATTTGTAATTATAACAGATATTTATTTATTTAAAAAATAATACAAAAGTAATAAAAAATAAATCATTTTGTAATCGATTGAAATCGATTTCTGTTCGAAAAAAAAGAAATATGTAATGATCGACCTTTGATCTGATATTGCTGTGCATTTTCGATAACATTGGCAGCTTCTTGAACATTGTTATAATGAAGAAAGGCATATCTAAAATCCAAAGAAATAAATAACAATTGAGATATTCACTTCAGTTTGATGTATTATTCTTAGGGTGTGGGTGAGGGTGTAGGAAATGAGCTTGCTCACATTTACACTCATACCCAAGCCCATCCACACTAGTGAAGTCCTTCATAGATAGTCCCTTTGTCAGCTAATGTCGACGAACTAGTATATTTTACTGCATCGTCACGATTTGAATGATTCGATGTTTCATCATCGTTCGTACAATTTAATGCTTCACCAGTATTTAAAATATTTAATTGATCATCATCATCCACACGGTTTAATGCAGCATAATCACCAGAACGACTTGTACTTTCAACACTATTCGAATCATCTGATGATGTTTCATCAAACGAATCTTGAGATGGTGATGATGAAGATACATCATTTGTTTGTAGTCGAGTACTGATTAAAAAAATAGTACTATTATATGGAGGAAAACTATCAGTACTGACGCAGAAACAATCAATTTTAGCTCGTAGTCCCATGATATTTTTACATGCATCCTGATCTTTTCCTTTCTTATATTAATAGATGTGAATAAATGTCTCACCGATTTGATGCTGATAACAGTCGTGAAGGTCACCCAAATTATCGTATTCACTTTCTTGGGAGTCGGTCCATGTACGGTCTTCGAGGATATTGTTCAGTTCATTAATACGATCATCAGCGTGCTGAACAACCTAGTACAATCAATAACCATATCAAAATATATCTAGGGTGTGGGTGTGGATACGAATGAAGAATGAACTACACACCGACACCTCCACCCACACCCTTCATCATCAGATGGTTCAACAAGTGTTGAAAGAACAAGTCGTTCTGGTGATGATGGCGCATCAAACCGTATAGATAATGATGATCAATCAAATATTTTAAATACTGGTGAACCATTAAACCGTACGAACGATGATGAAACATCAAATCATTCAAATTGTGATGATGCAGTAAACGTTACCAGCTCGTCGACATTAGCTGACAAAGGGACTATCTATGAATGTAAGCGAACTCATTTCCCACACCCACACCCACACCCTCAGAATATATTGAGCAATTGGTAAAGTTTAAATGAATTTAAAACTGTACAATCTTATTGTGACATTGCATGGGATATTATATCGGAAGTAAGCTATATTGTTTCTTAAATAAATAAATATTGATTTCGTTTTCAATTATAGTTAATGGCTGTACCTGTAAAAAATTCAATATTTTTTTATGATACCACGGACTGGAAGATAGAAAGAATTTATCAACAATATTCAACAGAAGAAGTCCGTTTTAATATAAAAACTATATTGCAAAATAGTAAATATTTCTTTTAGTATGCTAATTCGGGTTCGGGTCACTTAGGCGACAATCATTTCGCCGACACCATTTCACCAACCAATAGTTTCACCGACAAGTACTTTTTATCATCTCAATTGATTTACATATAGGCTACTAAGTCTAGTATATTCCAGGACGCAATGTGGGTGTGGGTATGGGTGTAAATGTATCTTCTTTATTTCGATCACACCTACCGATACCCTTCTTTATCGAACCGATAAATTATTCATATTGTATTGTTTAATCAATAAAAATTAAATATGATAAGCTTTTTGTATTGTTGACTGTGGCATTAAATGTTTTCATTTAGTAGAAAATAAAATTCGAATTAGTTCATGAGAAATCAAGGACTTCCATGAAGAATCACTTTTTTCGCGAGGAATAGTACTTAAATACCCATTATTTTGTTATATGACATTTATTCTTTTGCAGATATATAATCAATTACATCACTTAAACGTGTCATGCCATTAAACCATATGACTGCCAATCGCCTTTTAACGTTTCTTAAAGGAGGCAATGAATAATAGCAAACAATTGTGATCAATTGCACAAACATCGAATCATGCATTTCGTGAATCGATGAAAAAAGGTTGTTGGACATAGAAGAATCTTAGTATGTCGAACATTTTTTAACTATTATGAAGATAACTATGATATTGACGAAAACAAGTTGATTCTGATTTCAATGCAGTATTCTAATGTTGCACGACCAGAATAGCAATTATTTTTATATCCGTGTTTTAGCGTTGATGCTTTTCTACAACTAGCTGAACTTTACAGCATTCCATTGTTTAAATGTTATGTGCGTTTATTACCATTTAATATTGTGCTGATTTCGATACAATAGAAAATCAAAAATACCGAGAATCATTGACATTTCAACGCACTTTGGAACGGTTTCGATAGAATCTAACAATTCGTTTTTTATCAGTCACATGGTTACCAGCGATCGATTTTTCAAAGCTAGTTATTGTTGGTGGATGCGTTCTAAATGCTACCGTAGTAAATCTTACAGAGATACACAAAAACAAATTCACAACCGATATTGAAATTTAAAAAACCACGGAGTATCTTCCTATGATCGGATATTCGTTAGTTAACAAAAGATAAATCTACATTTATATGAAAACTTATCAATAGAACATTTACATACGAATTTATCGATGAGCGCCTAAAAATAGAAAACATTTTCTTTCTTTCTTCGGAATAAAATTCTATTTGTAAAAAATCATGTTAAATATTATTGCAATATGTTTACTTGTCTCAGCTAGTATATGTCTTGTTTTGGTAATTAGTATTACAATGTATATACTTTATGTTATTAAACATCGTTCAACGAATGTTGGTTTTGCTATTAATATAGCACAAAATATTCTTAAACGTAGATTACTTGTTCCATTAATAATTTTACTTCGTGTTCATTTACCTTTTCCAATAATGCTTGTTGTAACTATTTTAAGACGAAAATTGACAAAGAAATCATCACCACAAACAAAAATAGAACAAGAACAAGAAAAAAAACAAAACATAGAAAATTCAAACTAAATTTTCTTCTTTTTATTTTTTTCAATGACTTCTGTAAAGCATATATATATATCATACTAAATCGTCTTAATTCTCAATTTCATATATAACTATTCTTTCTTTATTTGAGATAAATAACTTTATAGAATATTTTAATTAAATATCACAGTATAGATAAAAAAACAACTGGTATTATTCACACACGAAAAAGAAAAACAGACTGTTTGTTCAACCTGACTAGGTGCGTAAAAAGAAACACATAAAAGTATATTATCATTTCTTAAGCTATCATTGGTGCTTGTTCATCACATTCACTATCATTAACATGATTCTCTATTGGTACTAAACGAGTTCGTTCTGGTGTTATTATTTCATGACGATTTCCACCAATATTCGTTTTCCATAGACTTATTACCATTAGAATAGTAATAATAGCAACTCCACCTGGTATAAATGATAATATTTGTCTATAATATAATTCACATTGTGTTGTTGCATCAGCTGTACATGGATTCATTTGTTGAATTGTAGCAATAGCTATACCATTTGCAAGTTTATCTGCAAAAGACATTATTCCATAAACAAATGCTCCACATTCAGTATTTAAACCAATTAAATCTGATGTAAGCGAAAATGAACATATATTTGTTGTTGATGTACCAATACCAAGTAAAACACAAGCAATTATTAATGTTATTTCAACTCTCATAATAGGTTTTAATTCAAAAATAAACCAAAATAAGAATGTACTAGCAAGAGTAAATATCAAACCAAGTATCATTGTTACTTTTCGACCTAAATGTTTATTTATTGCACGCATAGGAAAAGATGCAAGTAAACCACTTATATAAGAACATAATGGTGCAATAGCAACATAAATTCGATTAAGTTTTGAAATTGTATCTATTATATACAATGGTAAAAATACCTAAATAGAAACTCAATTATTCTTTCTTTTCTTTTTGTTTTGATTTTTACCTGTGTAACATTAAGAATAACACGTGTAAACATCCAAATAAGTGCACATTGATAAAATTCTTTTTCACGTAAAAAACTTTTCCATGTCATTCGTTTTAATTTTCCACTTGAAGTTAATGATAATTGTAAACGATATTCTGTTTCTTCTGCTGGTAATATTGATTCTTTTATACCAAGATGAAATATAATCATACAAATAAGACCAATACCAACAACAATAAATGTTAATGTTTGAAATATATGTGCATCACCTGGTGTTATATCTGTTTTATCATCACTTGAATGAACACCCAATAAAACACTAGCCATAGCATAAATAAATATATTTGCTGACACTGTACAAGCATAACGATATGAATTAAGTGCAACACGTTCACCTTCTTTATGTGTTAATTCATTAATCATTGCTCTAATAGAGAAATTCTAGTTAATACTTTTTATACAACAAAAAAATATATATCTACAATACTTACAAATGTGTTATTTGTGAACATGACCAACCAAATTGAAAAATAATAATAAACATTGCATAATAAATAAATTGTGCCCATAAATCACTATATCGACATCCAACACATAAATTAAAACAAAATGGAAATGATAAAAGTACACAAATAACACCCATAAGATGCCAAGTTTTTCTTCTACCATATTTAAATAAACCGGTACGTGTTCGATCAGATTCAAAACCGACAAATGTTGTTGCTATAGCATCAGCTACTTGTCCAATTAAAAGTAAATAACCAGCAAATGCATTAGAAAACATCACAATACGATGATAGAAAACAAGTAGGTAAGAAAACCACATCGATGCACTTAGATCATTAAGTACATGTCCAACACTATAAGCTAATTTAGTCCTTTTTGAAACAACATCTGGTTGTGAAGGAATTGGTTCCATGATATTTTATTGAACACAAAATAAACTGAAAAAAAATCAACAAATAAAGATAGTTATCAACAAAAAAAGAGGCTCGTTATTCTTGTTCTACTTTAACTGCAACAACTCATCATGTCTTTATATTAAAAAGAATTCTAAACATATAGGTAAGAAAAGCAAATCAAAGAAAGATAGTATAGATAAAAAGCGTTATGACTGTCGTTTGAAAAAATAATTTCTTGATAAGAATTTTACATGTATATACAATAGTCTCATATAATCTAAATATAAACTTTTGACGAATTACAAACAATGAGTAATAAAAATGTACGTTATCATTAATTAAAAAGAAAAATATTTCGTTTTTAATTCTTATTTATTTTATATAGAAGATTTACGTTAACCGAATTAAATATTCATCCTTTCTTTCATATTTTAAAATAATCGGAGTAAAGAGTTAATAGCATTTTTTATCTTATCATTTAACAATGAAACATACGCATTTAAATTCCGCAGTATATTAATAAACTAGAGATAATTAGACTATGACTCATCATTTATTTAAATCTATTAAATGTTTCAAACATTAATTTATGATAAATTTTTAGTGAATCTATGAAATTAATAAATGATAAAATACCATGTTTTTATTCAATACATATTTTATAAAATTAATCATGTAAACATTGCATGATAAGACTTTAAAAATAAAACATTAACTGTTCTTTAACATAACATGATAATATTGACTCATCAAGGTAATAGAACACGTTGTTTTAAACTAATGTAATGCTGATAAGAGAAAAATAATTATAAACATATTTTGAAATCTTATTCAAGTAAAATTTCAAAAAGTATGCATCTTGTTAAGAGTTCTTTCTCAATGAATGTTTAAATATTTATATGATAAAATTCACATGAGACAGTAGATGAAGAGTACGTCATATATTTAACATGACACCCATCAAATGTAACAAAATAAGAATATTTTACCGTCTAACCTCATAGAAAAGTAATTGACATGTATCTCTGCCAGACAGATTTTTTTTTAAATACATTTGTTTATTTATAATAAATATTATTAGTTATATTTCAAAAATGAATGTCAAGATTAGTACAATAGGAAACAAAATTGAAAAATATTCTATTTTTTCACATATGTTCTTTAATTTATTGCAATCATGTAAAAGTTCTTTTTTTTTCAAACGGAAACCAAATGACCGGGAAAAATTCTTTTTTTTCTCCATTAATAATTATATATATATACAGATACATATGCACAAAGATACTGTCTTCGTAATCATTAGTTCAATAAAAGAGATTGAAAAAGATAAAACACAAGAAATAAACACAAAGAAAAGAAGAAGAAGAAGAAGAAACTACTGTTTCTAACATAATCAGGTTAGTTGAATATCTAATCAATAAATGTCCAAACTTCAACACTTGCAATTATAAAATCTTCTTTCGATGATAATCGAACATTATTAAATGTTTTACTTGGACATGTACGACCATGATATAAATCAGCATCAAGCCATAAACCATATGTACCTCTAGAAAATTGATTTATTAAAAAAGAAGAGAAAAGAAATATTTCTTCAACATACTCTCCACTACCAATTCCAAGTGTTTTAACATCACCTTTGACAAAAAATTGATTATTACCAGTCCAATGAAATACCTAAAGGATAATAGTATGTTATATAGCATGAGAAATCTCATTTTAAATCTCTTGTATTCCCTAGAGAATTATTACATCCTTCCGAACTAGACACAAGAGTCTAATAATCTCAAACATCTATATATATTTTTATTTTTAACAAAACACGCGATTTCTTGTAAAAAAAGAAGATCTTAATATTCAAACGAAGAAGAACACTTTATATTCATCTGAATAGTATTTCATTATAAATAGAAAAATATCAATTTTCTTTTGTATTAGTTTATGAAATAAATTAAGACATCAATTTACGCAGAGAAATTCGAAAATTTCTGCACTCATTTGTAACGATCTATAATCACATCATTAATATTTATAAATAGAGATTTTCTTCGATCAAAACAATTTAACCTACTTGAAATTTTGGATAAAAAGTAAAAAGAAATGATTCTCCAGTTCCATAAAAACCTTCACTAATCATTAATTGTTGTGATATATAGGCACCAAACATCTAATTGAAAAACAAAAAAAACACAATTCCTATAACATACAAAAGATTTCAATATTTTTCTTTACATTTTGTTCGACATCTTTAACAATAAGTAGAGCAGGTGCATCTGAATCAACTTCCATTGATCGACGATAAAGTTGATTTAAACTAAATCCATTTGTTTCTGTACTAAATATCATATTCCAATTAAGACCATGTACACGTGCTGGTAATTCAAGTAAAATCTTTCAATATGAAAATAAAAACAATAATATATGTATGCATAGAGTCGATTTTGTATTTTTAATACTTGTTTAGATTGTTCTTCGTCAACAAGTGTAGATGGTTGAAGAAGTTTAGGTGGCGGTATACCAATATCAGGTGTATGTGTCGGATTTGCATGTGTTGCATTTATACGTCGATAAATTTCATCAACACTGATGATCTAAATAGATAATTTTAAATTTCCGTTCCGTGTTTTTCCGCTATGATGTATATATTAATTAAATGTGTATTTTTATTTTATTTTTTTCATACCGCTGTCGAACTATTTCGTCTATCTGATGTTAGTTGATTGAGTACTGATGATGGTAAAAGACTTTTCGCACGTTTTTTTAAATGTAATAATTGTTCTTGATGATGAGGAATTTGATCGAGAAAATCTTTTTTTGAATCAGATAAACGTGTAGTTATAGAATGAAATGTAAAACGACGTGAATTAAATGGTGATGATGGATGTGGAGTAGATTCATTAGAAGAACATGAAGTATTCGATAAAACTTTAGATAGAGTACGCATCATAATTATATTTCTTAGTTAATGCTTATATTAGTATAGTTATAAAAAAAAGAAAAGAAAAAAAAATATGAGAGAAAAGATAGTTGTATTTCTCTCGTCTTAAAATTCCACCAATCCTGTGGATAGAATTTCTGTGTTATTCTTCTGTCACGATTTCATCGACAAACTGCATTATAAAAAAAAACATATAATTGTGTTGAAAAAGAAAAGACGAAGATCATATGAATGATGTTATATACAAACATAATTCAGTTTTTCATTTAATGAGAAGAAACTTTTGGTTAAGAAGATAATAAATAGTTTTCAGAAGACATTTTAGTAATTATTAGGTTTTACTGTCTGCTGTTTGATTATAATCTTTTTTGAATATAATAGAATGACATTGTAACGGATGATTACTTCTTTCTTTTTTTTCTATGCCAATGTGATAAAAAAAATGTTTTCTTCTAAGCATTAAATACTAGTGATTCAGAAAACTAAGATAAATTGATTACACCCCTTGATAGAAATGTCCTTGTTAAGAAAAATAATCTTTTTATATATAATGAAAAACTGCAGTTAATATTAAAATTATGGATTTGACGTGATATTAAAAACAAAAGATGTCTGGTTGATTATAATAGAAAATTTATGTACGTATCTAGTTCGAAAAAGATCAAATGTATTTTTAATGGAATCATTCAAGCAAATATCCGTATGTCTAATATAGAAAATAAAAAGAGTATTTTTTTATTTCTTACCTCCCATTCTTTCAATAATGTATTTTGTCGTTTTAAATAATGTTGCTTTTTTGTCGATGTTGTACTATCTGATGTTGCATGTGATTTAGAACTATTATTATTTTTATTATTAGAAGATACATAATCATCTGTTAATTCCGGATCATCATTTGCTAATAAAACAAAACCTTTGCCAGATGAGATTTCATTTTGTTTTGATTGGCTATTAGATACATGACGATTGACTTGATTTAATGAAGTATTACTATTATCCGGATGATCGTCATCAAAATATGGATCTAATGCACGTTCAGGACTCCAACGAAGAAAAAATGCATACAAATGATCAATTCTAAAAATATATATATAGATAAGATATAAATAGATTATTTATGCACTTCGATTTTCTAAAAGATTAAGATCTAACTAATTTTTTTTATAATTCCTCTATAGGGCATATCTTAATGATTCGATCAAAAATAAAAAGAAATATTGAGGAGCTTCTATATTATTGTATGTACTATTCACATTCAATTGAGTTTACTGTAAATTCTATAACTCATCAAGATCTGTTCTTTTCTTTTCCTTTTTTTGATGATGATGACTTTGATTCTAATTGAAATTTGAACTATACACGCCTCAATTAATATGTTAATGTCTTCTTGAGACATTCGATATCGTAGCTATATTTAGTAACAATTTATCTTAATTCATTTTCAAGTGACTTTTAAGAGTCAATATTCTAGCATGTCGTTTAGTACTAGTTAAAATAAAAGAACTAAATAGAGAAAAAAAAGCTTCGATTTAGTTTAGAATTTAAAAATCTATATAATTATTATCGGTGACATTTGATCAGAATTGAACTTAATATCAGTGCACTGAAAATGAGATTCTATAAATAGTAATTTATTTAGTTGTCAAACCTACATCGTCTGGCAAATGTAATCGTTATTTTAGAGTTGGTAGACTTATTAATATATCTACACTCTCAAGATGGCTCGCATTGTTCCTTATTCATCACTGCCGCTACTAGTTTTAATGCAAAATTAATAGAACTCCCACGCACAAAAAAAAATAGTTCTGCTGTTTTCTAGAGACAAAATTCTTACTTTTCTTTTGGAACAGAAAACCAATATTCATATTCAAGTTCTTTTTTTCCATAAACTTCATCGAACATTTTCTTATTTGATCGTTCATATACAGGCATAACATTATTTGCAATTCTACTTGTTTTTATACATAAATAATATGGAATTTCAATTGGATGTGGTGTAACATATATTTCATGTTGTTTTTGTAGTAATTCTATATTTAAAAAAAAAAAAGAAAAAGTATTTTATATTTTTCTAAATAAATATTTTTTTCTTACTATCAATTTCACCGAAACGTCTATTAAATTCATCATTTGGTATACAATTTTCTAATTGATAAGTAGCTAGAAAATAAAAAAATTATTTTATTTTAAAATCTATTCCTAGGGGAAAACAGCAGACTTCAAGACTTCAAGATTTAAAAGACTTCTACAGACTACAAGAGACTTCAAAGGACTCCACAGATTTCAAGAGAGTTCATAAGACTTCCAGGACTTCATATATGAAGCCTCTATTTTTTCCCCCTCGTCTCCCCGGGAAATAAATGCATCATAGAAATTCTAGAAGACTTCGTGAGATTTCGTAAGACTTCATGCATGAAGTCTCTGCTGTTTCCCCCTCGGTCTATTCTTTATTTTTATAGGATAGGACTTACATGATGGAATATCTTTGTCATTAATTAATATTCCACTGGAATGTTTAACACCGTCAAGTGAATAGAATAGATCTTCGTTATCCGTTGATATACGACGTTGATTAGCTGAGGAAGCATTAAATAACATTCGACTTGTATCAATTGATGAATTGAATTCTTTATCAATTTTATCTAATAATGATGACATTAAATCATGTACTTGTTCTTCATCGTTATTCATTGAAGTTGTTGAACATTGATGAATATTTTTTATACTTGATGAATGACACATTTTTCGTTTTTCTTCATCTCTATGAAAATAAAGATTCATTTTTCTAAATTAATTTATGATATTTCTTACCGTAAATTCGCTTCATGTTCATACATTGCAATATCTTCATATAAGGCAATACCAGCAAGTAAATCCATGCTGAAAAACAAAACAATAACGAAGAGTTAAATTGATAAATGAACAAACCGAATTATTAAGCCATATTTATCAATACCATGTTCTTTAACTAATGAATCGAGAACATCGGGATCAAACATAACTGCATTTGGCGTAACAAGAAGAGTACCACCAACGCTTTTCTGAAATGAAAAAGATATATAAATAATTTAAGAGTTATTGAAGAAAGTTTTTCTTATGTTTAAATCGAACTAAGACCTATTATAAATACGATTTAATAATCTTAATATTTCCTTTTCTTTCTAATCTCAAGTCCTTCACGATAGTTCTAATTTTATTTCTACAATTTCCTCTACAATTATTTTTCATCGATGAATCGAGATCATTAGCACAATCAACAACTAATCAATTTCTCTTCCTTAAGATTGATTATACGATCCTTGGACAATCTCACATGCGAGAATTAATAATACATGCACTAAAATTATTTCTTATTATTGAAAAAAATTTGATTGATAAATATTTATTTCAACAATATTTTAAGAGGTGTTAAAAAAAATATTTCTAGACATAACAAAAACGTTCTTGATTATAAGCAAAATATTTACATCATGTTTCATACTTAATTCCCATCGGAATTTCACTAAAAGCTTGATAGAATAGAATAATTTTTCGAAAATCAAATTGATGAATTAATCTATAAAGACTTTATTACAATCACATATTCGATCAGTGCATTGTTGAAAAAAAAAAGAAGTATAGTCCTAGAAATTTTTCATCTATCTTATTAATTATTAAAAATATATGGTTGAATACATCATGCATAAATACTTAAGATTTTGTATAGAGAAGAAAATCTGATTATAAAAATTATTGTTGTTGTTGTTGTTTTTTTAAACTTACATGATCATCAGTCATCAATCGAACATTAACTTTAATAAAACGTTGTAAACATTCTTCATCTAATTGATGATTTTCTTCCATTGAAAATGTTTTTTGTAATTGTTTTACTTGTTTAGTATTATCTTCTTTATGTGTTTTTAAACGTTCTTCAATAGTTCGTGATGATGATGAATCACTTTCTGTACTCGCTTCACTTTTTAATCGTTGTGCACGACCAGGTTTAGCTGTTGATTGACGAGACATTGACCAAACCATAGCTCCAGCATCTTGTTGACTACTTGGAGGAGATGATCCACTTGATAAACGACGATCAGTATGAACAATGAATGTATCTCCATCTTTAGGTTTTGATGATGATGGTGTTATTATCGGAACAGTTGGAGTTGGTTGTTGTTTTTCTTCAACAATTGTATTCGAATAAGGCGCATCAGGTACATAGAGTATCTATAAATTTAATATATGAAACTATACATTAAGTTTGAATGATCTTATAAGGTATGACAGTTCACAACAAGAATTCTCATGACAATTGATCACATAGTCGGATCTCATATAATCTCAATGGAATTACTCATAAATTCGTCGAATCGAAAGTCTTGAATGATTCTATTAATTATATTATCCTCTAAATTCATTGGTTGTAGAATACTATCAGATGTTCTACGAACATATTTTTTCATTTTTCTAATCTACTATTATCAAAATACTGAAAAGAAATTTGCCAATGATTTGACATACATTAGGGAATTTATAGTCAAAGAATTGTCTTGTTGAAATACATGACAGTCAAAATCTGATAGAACAAAAACATGAAAACATACTTGTCCAGGAAAGACAATCCGTGTATTCAATTTATTGAGCTGAAGTAATTCGGACGGTGTTAAATTAAACTGAAGAGCAATTTTTTCTAATGTATCATAATTACCAATCTAAATATATATATTCAATTATAAATAAAATTTTCTAGGTTTAATATCAATCTACATACTGTATAAGGTATTGTTCCTTTTGGTTGCACTAATGCTCGCCCACGTTTAGAATCACGAGCTAAATATTCAATTTTAGAAATATTGATCTTTTTTTTTGTATTGGAAAAAAATTCCTACTTGGATTCCTTTTAAATGGATTTAAGAGACTTTCTACATCTGTCGTTGTATTAATTAATGATTGTGTTGCATCATTGTCTGTATTCATAGCCAATAAAGGTATATTCGATGAAATACTTGCTATTGATGATTGTTTCGAAACAGGTTCAGTAGTATTTCTATATATATATAAAACATAAATATAATAAATATCTTTTTATTATCGTTTTTAGGTTTAGCTAACTGAGTTCGATTCATTTGTCTAATGTCTCACTGGATTTATTTCATGATGATTGATGTTAGTAGAAATTCTTGTGTGATAAACATAGAATGAAAAAAAACACGACAATGAATAACCGTAGACGAAGTGATCTAGAAGAAAAATATAAAAAATAACCTTAATTTTTTTTTTTAGAATTCTTTCTTTTCCTATACTTCTTGAATAAGTCAACGGTTGACAAATCTAAAAATTATATCACTTGTTTTTTTACTTCTACATTAAAAAGTTAGCGCCCTATATTGAATAACAACTTTTAGTTTAAAACGACAAAAAAAAACACATATCGATCAATATTTTTCTTTTCTTTGCTTCCGTCTTGCTTTTTTTTTGGAATGAACTAATTGAATTGATTACATTATATATTGCTCTAGTACGATCGACGAAAGAGAGAGAAAGTGAAAGAGAGAGAATAAGAAAAAACTACTCGTGGCAAACAAGCTAAGACGAACGTTGATGGAAAAAATAATTGTGTGCGTGCTTCCGTCAAGATTAATTCTTTATTGGGGGATTAGATCAACCAATAGGTAACGATCATATATTAATTACCAAAATAATATTTTATTAATTTTTAAAAAGTATACTTTTCTTATAGAAATAAATATTTACCAAGAATAAATTATTTTAATATTGTCAAAAACAACGAACTTTATTGGTTAATCATGAAAATGAGTTTGAATGGCGACCATGGGAATTCTTCTTTCTATTATTCATAAAAAACGTTGTCGAACTAAAAAGAAACATGTTAACTCGATTTATCTCTACTATTACTCATCATCAAAATATAACATCACTTCGTCTAATAAGTACTAGTGTACTACGATTAGGCGATGGTGATCATACAAAATCAAAAGCTGAAGAGAAAGCAGCAGCTGATCTTAAAACAGGCAAAGAAAAACGATGGTTAGATACAGTAGCTTCCGATAGTGGTAAATACAGAAAATAATTAAAAAAAAAACCCAATATGTATATATCTATACATGTTATTTTCTATAGAAGCCATTGTTAAAGGTGAAAAACAACATGCTAAAAAACAAGGTGATCTCAAGAAAGATGTGTCTAAACTTCAACAAGATACGATTGCAGCTGTTAAAGATAAAGAAGCTAAAGGCCATCTACCAAAACATGATGTTGGTCGACGAGATACCCATGAAGAACGAATTGGTAGTGGCGGTAGTGGTAATACCAAACAGAAAAAACGTTGATAAACTTCACTTCTGTTTGGAATTCTATTTTTGTCCTACACATCGTCCATAGAATAATCTAGCAAGGAAATGATTGATCTCACGATATTAATCGATTAAATCAACATAATACGCAACGTCCTGTTTTCCTTCCTTTAGTTTTATTGTAGAAACGTTTTATTGTTTCTATTGATTTATCCCTACGTTTGTACCGATCTTTTTTTTTTTTTGAATAGAATAAAAGCTCTGTGTTTTGAAATTCAATGGTAATATCTAACAAGTGCATATTATCAATTTTTCAATGACTTCTCCTATCAAAGTTATCTGTAAATTTGAAAAACACATTAGACATAATCAATTTCACAGATATTTTAATATATTAAATAATTAATATTTTCCTTGAATCTTATGGATGACAGTTAATATGAAGATATATATAAACACTTAAGAAAAAATATGAGAGAGCATAAGTGATCACTCTACTCTTCATTATTTACAATAATCAATAGTTTGAATAAAACCATTTGGCATAATCTCCTTAGATTAGTTTCATAATATCTAAATTGTCTTGAAGATTATTTCAAAAAAACAATAAATCATTTCGATATAAATACATCTATTTGTTTTAAAAAAAAACGTTCAAGTATACAAATGTTCTATCTATTAAGGAAGCAGAAAAAATGGGGAAAATAATGGGAAAAACTGTTTTTTGTGTATTTCATTTTTCACCAGTTTGGTTTTTTCATTCCACCAACTAATTGACTTCGATTACGGAAATAATCTTGTCGAAGATTTTCATGTTTTTGAACAAATAATGAATAAGCAACGAATGGAAATATATACCAACGTTTAATGCATACTTCTTTCAACCAAAAACGTGTTACTTCCAATGCCATTTGTAGCTGTGGCTTTGTAAACTACGTTTGAAAATCTTTATTTATTAATAAGACGATCTAAAAATCGATGTTTTGATTTGTCATTGTTACTGATAATGAGTCATTTGTAAATGTTACGAATAAAATAAATTGATTGGATAATTTATTTATAATAAAAAATATTTTTAAAAAAAATTAATTTTAATAAAATTTTCAATGATTTCTTTTCAAAATATTTTATCATTGGTTTATCTCTAATCCAATAAATACCCATTTCCATCCAACAACAATGTGTCTGTCACGTTTGTGTTAAATCATCATTTTTTTTTTATCTTTAGTCATAAAATGGGCCTTTGCAAATGTCCTCAACGCAAAGTGTCTACTTTATTTTGTTTTAAACATCATGTTAATGTTTGTGAATCGTGTCTTGTTAGTGAACATCCACATTGTATTGTACGTTCATATGTATCTTGGTTACAAGATAATGATTTTAATCCTAATTGTGCTCTATGTCAACGATCATTAAATGATAGTGATGATGAAGAAATGATACGTCTGATTTGTTATGATTTATTTCATTGGTCATGTTTAAATGCATATTTTCATTCATTTCCAAATCATACAGCACCTGATGGATACACATGTCCAACTTGTCATACATGTGTATTTCCACCAGCAAACCTTGTTTCACCTGTTGCTGATCAAGTACGAGCTAAATTAGCGACAGTGAATTGGGCAAATAGATTACCTATGTTATCAGTAAATGATTTAACTTTAAATCAAGATAAACAACATCAATTATTAACTGAAACAGAAAATAATGGTTATGTAATTGTTAATCCAACTAATAGTGGCAATAATAGTAAACAATCAAGTGGATTATCACATCATCCACATCATAGATCTATCGATATGATACAAGGAACAACAGTATTAACAACAAGAGTATGTTCAGTTTTATTTCTATGACTTTTTTTTATTAATGATTATTTATATTTTTAGCCATTACAAATGGATTCCGATGAAGAAGATAAATATAAACGTCGAAGTATTTTTACATGGTTAGCACGATGGTTACGTTCACAGCAATCAACGAATCGTAAAGGTGCTTTAACTAGTAATCGTACACAAATATCACGTACTCGTTTTACAATTTATATGATATTAGTTGTTCTATTTATTTTTCTAACAATTTTAACAGTATTATATCATTTAACACGTGGTGATAATAATGAAAATTTCGATCGTATTAATGATCCACAATTTAATCCATTAAATAATCCATTTATTCGTGTTGGCAATCGTTTATTAAAAAATCCTTTAAAAGATTCAAATTCACCTTTAAACAACAAAGCTCAATCATAATATAAAAAAACATCGTTAATCTCTCTTGTTGGTTTATTTTTTATTTTATATCACAGTTCGATGTGTTTTTTTTTCTCTTCTGTTTGTTTGTTTATATATCGATAAATTTTGTTTTAAGAAGTTATTATAAAAAAAAAACTAGAACTGAAAGAATTCATCTATTATTTTCACAAATCAGATATATATATATATTTCTAGATGAATATTATTTTTCGTCGATTTCTTTCAACTTCAACAGAAAATAGTTCTTATACTATATCATCACGTTTACTTAATCGTAATCCACGTACACTTGAATGGCAAAATTTACAATGGCGTGCAACTGGTTGGTCATTACAATATCCACCAAAAGATTATTTACATCGTGCAAAACTTCTCTCATCTGGTAGACATTTAACTGCACAAATTGATCATTATTATACGGGAAATATCTGTGTACAAGTTTCAACATCAGAATGGGGTATACGAAAACATTTAGCGACATGTAAAGATCGTTCAGTTGCTTATAATCTTGCATTAATATTAGCACAACGTGCTGAAGAATGTGGAATAACAAAAATATATTTCGGACATCCATATGATAAACGATATGAAAATTCTTCACGTTTACAATATTTTTATCGTGGTTTAATTGATTCAAATATTGAATTTGAACAACGTGAAAATAATCAAACACAAATAACGCGAGATTCAATTGATGGTATTAATTATGATGAACATGAACGTGATGTAAGATATACATCACCGAAAATGCATTATCCACCAGATAAATATCAAGAAAAATTACATTATTTTCAATTAGGATTAAATAAAACGAATGAACCATTAGAAAATAAAAGCGACAAAATTTTGTCATAAAAATATTTTTCGTTTGTTTTTTATTCTTAGATTAGAATATTCAGATAATATAATCGTTACACAACACGTTGTTATTATTATTTCATATATTTTCTTTCAGATGCTAAATCATCTGTTTTCTCGTTTTGTTCCATTATCAATATCAACAATACAACAATCTCTTCGTACGTTATCTTTTACATCTATTCAATATAAACGTTCACACACAGATATACGTGAAGGAACTGTACGTGAAGTAAATTTACATCCAGAAAATATTCAAACACCATTAAGTATTGATGTTGATAAATATTATGGTGGTTCTGGTCAAGTTCGTGAAACAGATTTTGAAAAATTAATTGGTGATACAAATAATCCCGAAGTTCCACAAATGAAATATGAAGATTTACCAATTGTTCATATGAAATGTACACGAAATAACACAATTGTAGATGTTAGTGATTGTACAGGTCAACAAATTTTTCGTACATCATGTGGTGTTGTTGGTTTTCATAATGCAAAAAAAGGTACAACAACAGCAGCACAAGCTGTTGGAATACATATGGGAAATAATTTATCACGACGTAATATGAAACATGTACGAGTTGTTGTTAAAGGTACTGGTCCAGGACGTTTAATGGCAATAAAAGGTTTACAATTAGCTGGCATTGATATTGTTACTATAACTGATAATACGAGTATTCCAACATTACATGTTGGATTACAGCGACCTAAAAAAATGCGACGTGTTTAAATTAAGTTTTTCTTTTGTTGTGTTTGTTTTTTTTAGATGTCTAATTCTAATATATCAAGTACTACTTCATCCGTACGACCAGTTCCTTCACG